ACAAAAGACCTAGTGATGCTAATTTAGGTGTAGGATGAGTCATCTAATTAGTTAATTAAATAGGACCTTGCTGCCAGTCTCCTACAATGGCACATACTGTGTTGTAGGTGTTCCACAGAGCTGAACGATGCCGGGGGAAGGTTCGTGAAAACACACTGACCCCCACTAATGCATGTGATGTTTATAGTTATGAAAGCACAAGCAAAAGCAATTGCTTTACTCCAAATCAGAACCAAACAACCAAATCTTCAATAATTGTTATTTTGCTCCTATTTTGTGACGAAAAAAATTTGCCAGCTTATTTGCCAGCTTTATAACTCTCCAAAATGTCTTTAAATCTTGATTTGATTTCTGAAGTTCCAAGTGCTCTCACAAGTGTATTACCTTTCGGTTTTTCTTAAAGAACCTAATAAAATCACGGCCCTCCGGCTGGAAACTACCAACATCTCCATCTATTTAGTTAGTCTTAGTTGCAATACTTACATTTAATTTATAAAACCTGCATGCACATGTCGGCCATAACAAAAATGGGGTTGCTCATTTTAATTAGCTTGTCTAGCTGGTGGTCCCACATAGCCAGGGATTCAGAGGTCCCAGTTACCTCTCCCCTTTCAGCTTTTGTTATTTCACACTAATAGGTTTTTGTATTTTTAGTCTGTCTTCATGTGAGAAGTACCCTGTCCCTTCAGTGAGTTTAGCTGCTTTTCCCTGGGCCTTTCCAGATGTCCTGAAAGGGGGCAGGGGGCGGGGGGGGGGGGGGAGGAATTGAGACAACCAGAACATCACATATTTCTCATTTGAATGCAACATAATTGCTTAGAAAGAACATCTATCTTTACCAATAAGGTGAAATATTCCTTTGCTAACTGCCAGCCTGGAATAACCAATTTTAAATGTTTTTGTATTATAAAGCAGGAAATGGTTTCTTTTCTAAAAAAAAAAAATATGTATTGAACGTGATTACAATAAAAGCTATCTAAAGATTGAATGGAAGTTCAACATTTTCTTAAAGAGTTTACAAAACCACAATAGATTTTCCTTCTGGCAATTCAGATATTCATAGGTCATCCAGCCTGGCCTTCTGCCACAGTGCACCTATAATTCCTTATTTTAAAATATTAATTAACTTTTAAACGTAAGTCCTTTAGTTCTGGATCCAGTACTGCCTATATGAAGGCAATAACATGACTGAGGGGAAGAATGGTGTTTCTTGTAATAGGTATTGTTTGCCACGCTGTATCCAAGAGCCCTACAGAAAGTAGAAAAAGACATTATAGCAGAGCGAGCAGACATTTTTACAAGGTCACTTCATTCAGACTGGAAAGTGGCCAGCACAATGTCATTATTTACAACAGGATCTGGGAACACTTGAGGAAATTACAGACCATTTAGTTTTGATTCCATTGTGGGGGGCAAAGTCTTAGGAAGTATTTTAGGAGATTAAATGGGGAACACTGAGAAAAGCACAGCTTGATGAAGGATAGCCAGTGCAGTCCCGGGAATGAAAAGTCACGCTTCGATAATTTTTTGACTTCTTTAAGGAAGTAAGTGCCAAGAAAAGCAAATTAATGCCTCAAAATTCCCTATCCTAAATTTCCAGGCGATGTTTGTTAAAGTTTTGCTTGACAAATCAGCACACACAAAGAAGTGGTTCTTAAAATTGGAGAAATGCAGAGACAAAAATTGTGCACTAAATTATTTTTAAAGTGAAAAGGAATCAGGTAAATATACCTTAGGACCAAAAGAATTTTACTGAAACAAAGACAAAATAATAGTTTAAGTCAATGCCATTGTATTTACCACCAACGTCAGCTTCATATTTTTTGTGCGTTTATTATGTAGTTGTGCAGAATTTTTCCATAAGACAATGGGAAAAAATGAAAATCCCTGGCTTTCAGAAATATACAGTCTAAGAGAGACTACATTGATTCAGATAAATAGACAGAAAATTACACAAACACATAACAAAAATTTAATAAGTTTGTCTCTTCTTACATTGCTAGTAGTGAGGAAAACATGTTGGTTTTCAAAATTCAGGACTAGCATTCGTAGTTTCTCTTTTGCAGGGGAGGCAAAACTGCCATGAAAAGATGATTGGTAGAGAGGTAAATCCTATAACCATCAAAGGAACAGGCAGACTAGGGCATTTTCCGAGCGTGAGGGGGATCCTGGAACCACCTGGGAGGGCGTCCTGGTTGCCCAGTGGAAGTGGAAGGTGGGGGAAGATGGCCCTAAAAGGGGAATCTAGAACTACGCGGGAATAGGGAGTTAACTGAAAATGAATCAGGAATAGACCCAAAATAAGCAAATGACATTAGGTATTGGATTATACACCTCTAAGTCCTGTCCAAGTCTAAAATACCGTAATCTCTGAGGAGAGACACTGCAGGTTTAGTAGGGATGGGATCTCAGAGAATCTCTTCTAATTAGACAGGAAAGATTTCCTGGATAAAGTGACCTCGGGAAGTCACCCTCCTCTAGAAGACAAGACTGCCAATATGACACAAGGGGAGACAGCTCACTCCAGACCTGACATTTATTGAGTACGTACTATGTCCCAGACACTATGCTAAGCATTTAACATAGATTAGCGTTTACTTTCATCCTCTCTAAAATTCTAGTAATAGGTAGATACTATAATTACCCCGTTTTACAGTTGAGGAAACTAAATTAGAGAGGGAAAGTAACTTGCTTAAGATTCACCCAGCCAGTAAGTGAAAGCTATAGAGCCAGTTATTTTAAGCCACTATATGAAAGTGGCCCAATTCGCCTGACCGTGAGATTTAATCTGAGGTGCTTGGTAAAAAAACAGATATTCCAGGCCCCTCCCCTGAAGCTTGCAGGAAGTAGATTCTAGCATGGGGCCCTAATACCACAATGCCTCTCAGGAAACCAGGTTTACCATATCCCAAAGCCTAGAAAATGCTGGCAGCAGGAAGGCTGTGTGATGGGAGGTACAGAACATCCACCCTTAAAAAGGACCTGGAGCTCAGAGCCCCACGGCAGCATCAATCCACGAGTGCAACTGTACATCTGCCTGCAAGACACACGCACCCTCCTGGCTCCATCCCATGTAAGCCAACTCTCCTTGACTTACAACAGGCCCTCTTGATAAACCACCATTCAGAGAACTAGACGCCAGTGTTCTTTTTAAAATTCTTACACAAAGTAAAAACAATACGAAAAGTAGAACGGTGTGGAATTATCTAGGAAGGGATCCTTTCTAACCAAAAGCGGGGGAAGAAAGGAATATGAAATAGAAGAGAGAAGATCCTAAAATATCTAATTTTAGGGAGACTGAATTGGTGAATACTTTGAACCCCTGTTATTTCTCCTCTTTGGTGTCTTTGTTAACAGAATACTTAAATAGATGCAGAGGTCTTTTTTTGGAATGAACAACGAATACATTATAATATGCAATCTATCTTCTTGGTAAAAGAACTCTAAAAAGATTACACTTTTAATTAAATGCACCAGAACTTCAAAGAGCTGCTACGGTATCAACACACTCTTCAAGGATCCATGGGGAAACTGCCAATTACACATGCAAATAAACATACCCACAGCAGACGAGGCTTACTAGTGTTCACGCTTCAATCAATTCCACAAACACTGATTGAGCCCCCTACTATGTGTCAGGCAGTAGGACTATGCTCTATGGGGAAAACAAAGATGAATACAATAAATAGCCTCTATCTTAAAGAAACTTACGATCGAATAAATGAGATAAAACATGTACACAAATGGCTCTAACACAAGCTCTAAATATCATGAAGGATGGTAAACAAGTGTTTGGGGGGTTCAGATTGCTTCTAGGCTCTGAAAAGTCCTCAGGGAGGAGATGACATTCCAGCTAAGACTGGAAGGCTGAGCAGGATTTGCAAAGAGAGCTTATAAAATTCTCATTTTGTACCTTTATGTTCTCATCTGTGAAACAGGGGCAATGACAGTTCTCTCAGGCTGCTCTGCAGTGACAATTACAGAGTCAGTCCAGCTCTGTGAAGAGTTCAGAAGTAATAATTACTTCTCAAGGAATGTGTACACTGGCCACTACCTGTTACTAACTCATTTTTTATGCTTCCAGGGTCACCTTTCAAACCACTTCAGAGAGATAAAGCATAAGCCATATAGTGGAAAGATTACCTTTTGCAAATCCCACAAAAATGTAACATAAGGATGAATGTACTGTGTAGCTGTGTACAAACCTCTGGTTATTTGTATATGGGTTGCTCTGTTGAGGTGAATCAGGTAGGTAAGCTCTTTTCTATGAGTAAAGAGTAAAGACCACATCACCCTCTGGGCTTGTTCAACACCATTGCCTCTCACGTCTGTCTGGACTTTTCTGGTCCCACTGCTCCGCTTTGGTACAGGCCCTTATCGCATCACCACTGGAGTACCTCACATTTCTTCCAAATGATCTCTTGGTGTGGAAGGCTTCCCTCTGCTGTTTTTTTTTTACACAAACCACCATCACATTAATTTTCCTAATGTGGTGCTCTGTTCACATCACTTTGCTCAAAGGTCCTTCAGTGGCTCTCTCTTCTACTCTTCAGAGAGAATCCAGACTCCACGGCCTGCCATTCTAGACTCTTCACAACCTGGACCCAACACACTTGTCTGGCCTTAAATCCCATGACACTCCCATCTCTGTGCCTTCACTTATGCACCTCTCACCGACTAAAACACTCAACCCCCATCTTCATCTATCAAAATAGTAACCATCCCTCAATGCCTGCCTAGCTCAACTCCAGCCCTCCACCAACATTCCGTACACACTCCTTGGTACTGTACATATTTGAGTACACAACTGTATTCATCAGGATAAGTAATACTGGCTGCTACAACACAATACAGTAATACAATATTGTTTCCTGTGTGGAGCTTTGCTTATTTTAGGCACTCAATAACTTGTTTAATTATACAAATATTTATATGTTAATATTACATTATATTATATAAATAATATTCAACATTTATTAACTACTATGTTTCAGGTGCTCTTTAAATTCTTTGTATGCATTACTTCATTTTATCCTTTCAAGAACCCTCTGAAGTAGGCATTGTTTTATCCCCAGGAAAGGGTGAGGAAACTGAGGCACAAAGAGCAATTTGCCCAAAGAGACACAGCTAGTAAGTTGGACTCTGGTAGTTTTACTCCCGATGCTCTTAATGAAATACTATGCCAGCTCCAGTCTTTTTAAAGTCTTTTACAATCTACAAATCACTTTTACTTACATGATTTTCCTTTTATCTTCACGACAAATAAATGAGGTTGTAATTATTCTCCTCTCTTTCCAGGTGTGGAAACTGAGGCTTAGTGGCAGGTCCAAAATTATGTAGTGAGTCAGAGAGTGAGGATTTGAGCATCCGAGGCCGTTCCTCCTTAGTGCTGTAAGGAGACACAGCAATATATCCTCACAATGAAAACAAGGGTAAGCAGGTGCCACTAACTGGAAATGTCACCAGGGAGCTTTGCAAGCTCAGGGTGTGAAACTGGTGCATTCCTGGTGCCAACTGGCCATCTGGAATGTGACTCAAGTAACAAAATGGGGGAGTCGCACCCACTGAGCTCTAATCTCACCGTTCTAATCCCCCTTGCCACATTCAAACTCATCTTGGTTTGTGGGGAGGAGTATTTGCTCCTCAGTTTCTGGGAAATGCAATGCATTTAGTTGTCTATCACTTTAGTCTCCTTTACTCTGGAACAGTTTCTCAGTCTTTAATTGACTTTCGTAACTATATTAGTTTTCTACACTGCACAACAATTGCCACAAACTTAGCAGCTTAAAACAATGCACACATAATTTCAAGCTTCCTGTGGATCAGGAGTCCAGGCCTGGCTTAACTGGGTTCTATGCTTGAGAGTCTCACCAGGCTGAATTCTATGTGTCAGCCACTGCGATGGTCTCCTCAGAAGCTGTACTGGGGAAATATCTGCTTCCAACACCTTCTTTATTTTAGCTCCTAGAGGCTGTCCACAGTTCATTGTCATGTGAGCTTCTCCAACATGGCCACTTCCTTCATGGCAGTTTACATCAAGGATAGAAAGGGGGAGTGTCTCCAGTATGTCTGCTAATAAGATGGAGTCTTATATACGTCCTAGGTAATCATGGAGTGACAGCCCATCGCTTTTGCCATATCCTGTGGGTTAAAAGCAAGTCACAAGTCCTGCTCAAACTGAAGGGGAGCAGATTACATAAAGGTGTGAACACCAAAAGACAGGGATCATGGCAGCGGAGGGGGTCACCTTAGGTTCTGTCCACTACAGTGACCTTCACACTTTTGAAAATTATTTCATAGAATATTCCTCAGTTTGGGTTTTTATAAAATGTTCCTCAATTTGGATTTGCCTGATGTTTCCTTATGATTCCATCATGATCAAGTAAAGAATCTTTTTCCAGAATATCACAAAGAGATGTTGAACTCTTCACACTGCTTGGTGTCTCATGATTTCAATTTGCCCTATTGTTGATATTCACACTAACCATTTGAATGAAGTGATACCTTCCTGGGCTTCTTCGCTGTAAAGTTATTCTTTTCCCTTACATAACTAATAAGTGTTTTATGGAGAGGGGCTGGCCCAGTGGCGCAGAAGTTAAGTGCGCACGTTCCGCTTTGGTGGCCTGGGGTTTGCCAGTTCGGATCCCGGGTGCGGACATAGCACCACTTGGCAAGCCATGCTGTGGTAGGTGTCCCACATATAAAATAGAGGAAGATGAGCTCAGATGTTAGCTCAGGGCCAGTCTTCCTCAGCAAAAAGAGGAGGATTGGCAGATGTTAGCTCAGGGCTAGTCTTCCTCAAAAAGAATAATAATAATAATAATAATAATATTGTTGGCATCTTACATGTATTGTCATCTAATGCAGATCAATGATCATAAGTAGCAATAATAATTAATAACTAATAATAATGCTTCCTACTCTCCAGACACAGAAACTGAGGTACAGAGAAGTTAAATACAATCAGGCCATAGTAGAGGCAGGATTTGAATCTAGGTCACTTGACTATTAGATTAAACTTCCATTCATTCCCATTCACTCCCAGGTACTGGCTTCCTTTCTAGAGTACTAACGTAACTAATTCCAGTTAACATGTTAAAAAGACATCAGTTGAAGGGCCGGCCCAGTGGCATAGTGGTTAAGTTCACGCATTCCGTTTTGGCGGCCCCGGGTTTGTGGGTTCAGATCCTGGGCACAGACCTACACACTGCTCATCAATGCTGTGGCAAGCGTCCCACATATAAAATAGAGGAAGACGGGCACGGATGTTAGCTCAGGGCCAAGGAAGAGGAAGACTGGCACAGATGTTAGCACAGTGACAATCTTCCTAAAGCAAAAAGAGGAAGATTGGCAACAGATGTTAGCTCAGGGCCAATCTTCCTCACCAAAGACATTGGTTGATACTAGATAGGATTACCAAGATTCCATGAGATTTACATTTTAATAATAAAATCTTAAAAATCAAATTCCTTCACTTTTTTTTTAAAGTGATATTTCTAACAGGAAGTAAAAAGAATTATTTCCTGAGGAAAAGGAATTTGATTGGTGCTTCCCAAATAGGATGTGGCCTGTTTGCCCTGCTTATGGGCATCCAGCAATAAGCACTGAATTACATGAGGTATACTAGCTGTGAAATGTACACTTAGTGCACACTCTTAGTTTCTAGGAATTATGTTAATGCAGCTGGGCACTACATCAACCAATCTCAGTGTAAATTATCAAAAACCCCAATACTAAAAAGCATCCCTTTAAAGTTAAATTGGAATAGAAACTTTATAAGGTGTATTAGAATCAACATTATCATACTTGGTGAAATAGAAAAAGAGGATCTACTGATATTAGTGTCCTACCTAACAGAAATGAAAATTATAAGATTATACCATGAACTAAATAATAAATATTATTAATAGGTATATACTGATGGTGAAATTATGGATGATTTTTAAGATTTTCTGCATCTTTTACATAGTCAAAATAAATGCATCCTTTTTGGAATCAGGAAAAAAGTGGTTAAATGTTAGAAAACACTAAAGAAGCTTGTGTTTGTAAGGAGAAGCTTTAATTGTTAAATGTGTAAATAAGCTATTTATCTCAATGTTATAGATGTTTCTGCATATGTAAATACTTTAACAGCTTACAGATCCATTTTATACAGATACAATTAAGATCTGCTATTTCTGAAACTTACTACATAATAAAGATCTTAATATGAGTGAATGACCATACCTTACTTTCTTATGTAAAGACTTCTTGTTACAAAGTTTTAGTCTTTACTACTAGAAGAGGCAGCAGAGGAGAGGTTATGGGCTTGGGCTCTGGGGCCACACAGCTCAGGTTCAAACCCCAGCTCCATCACTTAGTAGCCCTGGGACAGTGGACAAGCTATTCATAGCCTCTGTGGCTCAGTCTGCCCATCCATAACATGGAGGAATAATAACTCTTGTTTCAGAGGGTCTTGGTAAGAACTAAATATGTTAAGAACTTTGAACAATGCCCGGATGTGTAAGTATTTGCTATCCTGATTATTACCAAGTTGGAAGCCTCTTCAAGGTAGGGGAGCTATTTTATTTACTCCTCTGCAGTACTTATTACTTTCACCAGCATGTAGGAAAACACCAACAAATGATTATAGAATGAATGACAGGATTAATTAACCTGAGAACTGAAATTAAAATAACTACATAGTCGCTAAGACAAAAATTAGAAAGTTTCATGGACTGTTATGTGTAAACTCTCAAGTGTGAACTCTGTCAATATTTCTCTTTGGTTCCTTCCCTACTAAGAGCCCTGGGACGAGGAGCTCACCTCTAATTATTCACTGTAAACTCTAGAGATTTTACTGAGGGTGCATAAATAAGAAACAAATTTAGAATGTTTATTAGCCAAGACGCTGTATGAAAGTAACAGACCCTAATTCTAATTAGTTCCTGTAAAAGAACAAAAGGAGATGTAAGTGGCTCATACAGCCATAACACAAGAAGAGAGCTGCTGAAGCTGGCCTTCAGGAGGCCTAGAATCAGATGGGTTGGTTCATCTGCCCAGCTGTTTCTTGCATGCATTCTCTCTCTTGGTCTCACTCCTCATTCTTTGCCTCTCATTCTATTTCTCTCTTCCATGTTAGCTCTGTTCTCTCCCATTGAAGGCAATTTCTGTGTAGGGTGGGGGACACGGCTGCCAGCAGCCCTAAGCTCACATCCTTAGATCTTCTCAAACAGAAAGGAGACAAATCTTACGCAACATCTCCCATCATAAAACATGCCACAGAAGGTTTTCTTGGGCCCTGCTTGGGTATTTTGCCCATGCCTGGATCAGTCATCATGAGGGATGAGGATTACATAAAACAGATACTGGTCTCCCCCCCACCCCAGGGTTTGTTATTGTTATTTGTTTATATATTTGGACTGGCTGGATTATTTTAGTGAATTCTATACTCCCTCACAATGTTAAGCCTATGATGGTGCTCCTCAGGGAGCATATCTTGCTCTTTCCATGGCCACAATTACTCTTTCCATGGCCACACCCAATTGTTAAAACCCACTAATGTCCCAAGGTGGAAGAGAGGTGGTTCTCCCAAAAGCAGGTAGACAGGCAGCCCAGACAGGCTGCTGGAGGAATGCCAAAGATCAGGCAACTATCTCAATTTGTGTCTACTATGTTAAATAATTTAAAGGATTAGGAGACTATATTAAATTATAGAATGCATTACTAAGGTAGGACATAGACACTTAATTGGAAGTATTCCAAAGTAGGAATGTCTCACCTCTCTGTGAGGGTGGGATGCAGGGTTAAAATGATCAGCTAACCTCTTCCACTTCTTTAAGCCAAATGATTACAGTTATAGTACTCTTCTTGGAAAGGAGTTAAAGCCCAACAATATTTCCAAGATCATTTACTATCTCTAATTTTCTATTAAATCACAATATACATTATATTACTATCAATGCAAAACATAGAAATTAGTGCTTCTAATCTCTCTCTGGTTCATATGAGTCTTCTTGGATTAGCCTGGGGGAGAATGAAGAAGGCTTGGAATAATTAGTATGTGAAACCTGGTAAGAATTGATATACCAAAAGATTTCTAAGCCACAGTGAAGGCAATTGAAATTGTATGACTTAAATTGGAGGCAGTCCAAGACTAATGGCCTCTTCACTCTATTTAAGTTCATGATTTTAAAAGCACAGTATTAATTAATGCACATATAAATAATATTTCAATGTATACCAGAACTCTTTACATATGTAATGTTTAAATATATGCCAGAACTTTTTTCACAAAAAGGTCTAAATAATGGCCCCAGTACCTTGGATATTCACACTGTGCTGCCAGGCACTACATATTTATAGTTCCTTGTATAGATCCTATTTATACTGAAAATCTCAGGGCCACAGAAGCCACCTGTTGACAATGAGGTAATAGCTGATCAATTTCCTGGTTAGACAGAAAGATCTTGTTTTATTCACAATTTAGTATTTTAAACTTTTAAAGTCTCTCAACAGTTAAAATCTCACACCTAGATGGAAAGCAATATAGAATTTTATACTAAAGATATTTTTCTTTTTTATGAAAAGTGTTTTGAAATCTGCAGCTTTAATTAAAATGGCACATGTCCTTTGATCTAGCATTTCCACTACCAGAAATAAGCAAAGTATCATGGATGTAGGAAGACAATCTAGCTACAAAAGCATTCATTACAGTGTGGTTTATAGCAGCAAAAAATTGGAAATAAGCTAAATGTACAATAATAGTAAATTTCAAAATAAAGAATGGCATATCCATGCACTGGAATATTATGTAATCAGTAAAAATTATGTCGTGGAAGAATACACACAACATAAAAAGATATTCTAAGAATATCATAAGGTTTGTTGTAAAAGATAGTTACAAAATAGTACAATCCTATTATTTAAAATGTCATATACATTTTATATGTATATGAATGAAGAAAGAATGAAGAATAAACATGACACATGTCAAAATGTTAACAATGGTGTCTAAGTCTAGGTAGTAGAAGTATGGATTATTTTCTTTTTTGTATCTTATGTGGGTTTCCTAAATTTTCTATAATAAAGAAATACTACATTTATGTAAGAAAAAATAAGAAATTATTATCCACAATTGAGGCTTTAGGTATTAAAAACACTTGAACATTATTGAGTACTGTAAGGAACCAATGGCCAGTAGCAGATTACCTATGTTCCTCTGTAGTGATTTCTCTGTGACTTTTCACACTATTTCACAATTTTGTCCCGGATTTTATCAAAATTCATGAACATATCTGATCTAAACAAAAATTAACAGAAATCTTCAGTAGAGCTACGAGGGACATTGCTTTTGTGAATAGAGGGTCAGCCCTCTGGGGACAGACACTGTGTCCTCTTTCTCATCTTAGATTTCACTGCTGGGCTTAACAGGGCTTTGCCCCAAGCAGTGCTCAGTCATTGACTGAATCAGTGTTGAATGAGTGTTGAACTCCTCGCCGGCCTGCCTAACTGCTGACAGCACCCTGCAGGGTTTGCTGTGAGATGTTCATAAACTGCAACCTGCCAAAATGCGAACCCAAAGCTGATTTGGGGGATTATAATCAAGGACAACGGCCTTTGCTTTGTTAGCTCTGAACTAGTTTTAAAACAAACAGTGTTGATTCCAGAGTGGAATGTGTGTAAAGCGTTCACATCTGTCCTATCTTAGCTAGTATTTTGTAATAAGATTTTAATAGGTCCTCCTGTTGGTCTCATGTGCTATGATCCAATAGTGACTACAATAGGTTGGCTACACTGTAAACCTCTTGGAAGAATGGAGCAGTACAGAACAATTGTCATGGTTTTAAAGTGACATCCCTTTTGCCTAGCCCATTGTCCAATTGTATTTCAACTGCAGACGTATTTTCTAGATTAAGTTTATTTCGTATCTGTTGGCTATGCACAGGAGTCCTTATCTCCAGGCATGCTTTTGCCCTCTCTGCCACTTAAGTGATTTGAGTCACCCACACAAGTCAAGGAAAGTACTGCGAACAGAACAAGTCCTTCTCCGAGTCCAGCGTATTTTGTTCACCTAGTTTACTGCCTTACCATCCGCCCTTCACTTCTGGAGGACTTGAAGTAAAGCAGGAGCCAAAGTCAATGCAGATACCCCACTGCTATCTATTTAACTTTCAATAGTGAGTTGGTGCAGTGCTCAGGCGCCTCCTCAAAACCAGCCCATCATCTAAGAGTATTTACATAAGACTCTTTGCATTATATTCCGACCTCTGCAACATTAGTATTAACTACTGACATCTGCCAAGTCTGACTGGTAAGTGCTTTACAGTATCAATTCATCCCAAGCAAAAAGCATTTCTGAGAGCTGCAGTGCTCTTGTTAACGCCAATAAGAAGTATCAAGGCTCATATGACACCTAGCAGAAATTAGTACCCACATTCAAAGAAAAGTCTTTGTTATTTCCCAGAGTATTATGTGGACTTTATTGAGATGACTGCATCTGACACCTGCTGTAATATAAAATGCAGCTATAATTAGCCAACTGATGCTCACTGCGCTTTAGGTCGAATCCCTTCTGTGGGAATTATGCTTTAAAATATTCAGAACTCCAAGTGGCTCTCATTACATTTAATTTTAACTTAGAATTAGGTGGTCTAGAAAAAAAATTTAGGATTGTAATAGCCCCCTGCTGAATGCCACACAGCAACGTGAAAACCCATAGGGTTTTTTTCCTCTCTAAAAAAAAAAAATGAGAACGGCAGACTACACGAGAGCCTTCAATTGAAGTCTGGCTTTGCTTAATTGTACTTTTTGCACTCATCAGTCTCTCCTCTTCAGAGCAAGCTACAAAAATTGCCTGAATAGCCAAAGAAAAGTTTCCCACAGTCACTGGCCACAGAAAAACACTATTGTCCTTCCTCACAGTTTGATGGACAACATTTCTATAAATGGGTAGCCAGGCTGTCAATGGTACCCTTGCTGAAAAGGCAAAAGAAGAGAACAGATTCTGCCAATATCTGACAAAGCATGTTAACACATAATCAGGCATTCACTAGTCAGGCAGCTGCCCCCGGGACCTTCATCCCACAGGTGCCTTTAAGCCATTTCCTATTCACAGAGAAAGGAAACAAGCAGGAGATACCTGGGAAAGGAGCAGTCTATTATGGCTTGCCAAATGTCCATCTTCTGGGCTGTGTGTATAAAAGTAGAAGGAAGAAAAAGGAAACTGTAGTTTCAACTGAAAAATTATAAAACAGCAGAACGTTTACGAAACTTATCATTTAAGCCGTGGTGTTCTTCCCTCTCCTTTTCTCTTTATTTTTTTCAGGGGGGTGGGCTGTTTGAGTTTCTTTGTATGACATAGCAGCATTCGTGTCTAATAACAAAGGTCTTTTTCCCTCAGTGGCTTGTCAAATGCATTTGTCCGAAAGCCCCTTCACACACTAAGGCTGAAATACTTACCTGGTCCAACTGAGTCACAGAGAATTTACTTTTTTCACCTTAAGTGATGTTTTTCCACACACACACATTCCATTTCAAAATCTGTGATCAGTTACGCCAAAGCAGTGATGGGGCGGATGGTTCTCCAGGAAAGCAGAAACTCTGGACCATCTCCTGAGGAACCATCAAAATAAACACTTCAGGAGAATGATTATCACTGTTCATTTCTTCACTGTTGCTTAGACTAAGAATATTAGTCCCACACTGTGCTGATCCACGCAGTCAGAGGAAATACCAGACCTCAACACTCCATTAAGCCAACAGCCCATAGCATATATATATATATATATATATGACATTTTCAAATTAAAATTTCATGATTACTACCTTAAGGTTGCTGAATATCAATTTCTATTTTATTTTTTCATTTTCATTTTACTTATTATCATACTCTTAGGTCTCCTATATTCAAAATATGGAGCAGAAATGATGAATGAACCAGGGATACAATTTTGGGAAGTGATTAAACCCTCAAGGACCTTAGATTGGCTAAATATGCTCCTTGGGATACCATTTGAAGATTGACACACTCATAACCATACCTCTTCCTCTAAACGACAAGGTACCATAAAACTGAGGAACAGGGAAATCAACACAGTAAGATAAACAAAATGCCATGAGTTAAAGTACTACTTTTCCAACTAACCTCTTGAGTGCCATTTACTTTGCCTGGCTTCCTCATCTGTAACACTGGAGGGTGTTGCTCACCAGGCAGCTCTGGGGAGTAGTCACTGCTGAAAGTTTCTGCCCTTGAGGTGGAAGGAGAGAACACCTGCTAAGGGGAACAAAACCAACCAAGAATCATGAGCGCTTTAGAAATACAACGCTGCATTCTCTTACTGAAAATTTACTTTCTTCTTTATTTATTCTTTTTATTTCTAGAATAAAAGTATGAGGTTGATTTTAGTTAATAAATCATCACTAAATTAGGATTTATTAATTTTATAATCCTTACAAAGACAGGAAGCTTTTCTTAAATTTAATTCAATTCAATAATATTTAGTAATTGCTTATATATAATCATTGCCATTATGACTGCTATGTCTATTATATGCTAGGTGCTTTAAATACGTTTTGTCATTTGATCTGCATAACGACTCTCTGAGTAGATACAATATTATCTCCATTTTACAGGTGAGGAAACTGAGGCTCTGGGAGATAGAGTAGTTTAACCTTTTCTACTAAGCTGCAAAGCTTGGATCTGAACCCAGATCCACCTCCTTCTAAAGACCATGCTTTTCCTATGAAACCATGGTTCGTGTTTTAACTAATAGAACAAAATTAATTTTTATTTATCCATGACTTGAAAACACAATATGCTCCTTTATTAGGTGGCATATGTACATATTTATATTTTATGACATATGTGTGGGCTTTTAAATCATTGTAACGTAAGTTAAATCAACCGCTTGTCTCCAGATAGAACAACCAAAACTTTTTTGGATAGTTAGAGTTTTATTTTTGTTAACTATTTCTAGGGAAAGAGTTTTTTCCACCAGTGACCAGCTTTATACTTTAAAATTCTAAGCAAAATCTACTTTTACTTCAAAGTCATGTTCTATCTTCCCAACCTGATTGAAACTCCTCAAGGTCTGAGAGGAACCCTGTCTTCAGCTTTCTCAAGATTTTTTTGGGACAAAACACAACCTCTTAGGAACTTCTTCCTTTGGTGTACCCTAGAAACTCCTACAACTTAAAATTCTCCTTTATGCTGGCTGTGGTTGAATCCACAATTTCTCACTGTTGCCGTCAGGTTAAGTACAGGCATTTTAGCCCATTGTTCAAGTTCATAAAAGCTAACCCTAATGTGCCGCTTCAACCTCTAGTCTGACTCTTTACTACAGCTGAGCAAATCTCATCTCTGCTTCTTCCTTGCTCTTCCCCATTTCTGGCCTCTTGGCTGCTGTGTTTCATACTAGAAATATCCTCCTTCTTTCTTTCCATCAATTTGACCCTAAGATTTCATGTCCATCTATTAGTATACCTTCTCCAAGGAAATTTTCTTAACTTACACCACTCAACACTGATCTTTCACTTCATTTCATCTGCCCCTATTGCTTTATTGTGTTGCCTCTTAACATTCACTCGAACAATAAGATGGTCTGCCTCATCATCCAATTGTTTCAGGGAGTCTAGACGTATGTTTTCCACCAAATTATAGCCTCCTTGGGGGCAAAAGAAGACCTCGAATCCATAAACAAATGAGTGAAGAGTAAAACAGTTTTCCTAATGCTCCATATAATATTCTCCCACATTTAGTCCTTGAAGAAAGTTATCAACCACTGACATCCCTCTGGTTCTACAACTAGAAAAGGAGTCCACACCCAAATCTGGCTTGAGTGGGGAACCAGTTAGAGGGGTTGCCATCTCTAATCTTCTGTAGGTGGCTGTGGACTCATTAGTGCATTAAATATTTCTGGCTTTTCTTCTTTTGAGCATGTGAGGGGATCACCATTCTTGACCCCATTTGAAGTGAGCACGGCCATATATTTGCTTCAGTCAATTAATGTGATCAGAAGTGACAAATATCACTTCTAGGGAGAAGCTTTGATAGTGCGCGCTATTTGTCATTTTACTTTGTCCTTTCTGCAGTAATTGTGGGAGAATGGAGGTGGAGCCCCTTCCTCAGCCAGGGTCCCTAAATGAGGATAACGTACAGCAGAGTCCCCTGCCAACTCAGGAGGGACATGTAACAGGAGCAAGAAACAAACTTGTCTTGTTTTAAGCCACTAAGGTTTATCACTGCAGCACAGCCTTTCCCATGCTGCCTGATACAATAGCTTACTAAGGTCAAGACGGGACTGAGAACGACAAGAAATGAGAAGAAGACTGAAAGACAGAATGACTGGCTAAACGAAAGCATCTTCAAATATGACCCAGAAGTATGTAAGATTAGGCATTTCATTTCTTATACTAGCGGATGAAGAATCAAACTCAATAGATCCTTCAAACATCTTCATGTTGAGTCGTTTACAATTTCTTTCTCCTCTTCGGGATCCATTGTACTTTCAAACTCTGCACATTTTTTGAAATTTTGAAATTTTATACTGATCACATACTCCATTAAAATCTTCACCACCACAAAATTCAGGGGTAGATTTCTACCATTTTTATATATATAATATTTCTGATTGAATATTCAAATATCACTTGTGTTCTTGTAGGTACAGCTTCAAAATGTTATGCATATTTTTGGCATTATTTTGCTGTTGGTACTGTCCAGGGAGTCAAAATAAGAAGTCACAGATCTGGCTGTACTAATCTACTTAAGAGTTGCTTTTACCTAGTTATGGCATAAATTTACATTATTTTTAATTTTATTTATTGCTGTACCTAGTCATGGCATAAATACACATTTTAAAATTTTATTTGTTTTCTTATGTTTGTTTCAAAACAGGAATATATATCTAGAGTTTCAAATATGAAATATGAGAACCTCCTGAGTATGCTTATTTTGTTTTTACTTTTATTCTTTCTTATATACCAATATGCTGACAGACACATTCCCCTATGACTACATTCTTCACCACACATAAGTACTATATAGTTATGAATAATGAAATGATTAAAAAGCATAATGAAAGAACGGCACGACTGTTTTTTATTTCTCACTCTTGAGGGCTCATTGCAATATTTCCTGCTCCATATTAAGTTTGAGAGCTTCTGAGAAGTATTCTTAGAATTTCGATCTTTTGGAAAAAAATAATGATTCAATTAGAGTTTTTTTAATCACGATGATTACTTTATGATAATGATCTTATATGGCTAAGATGTTGCACTTATATTGCACTTAGATGCAGCATTTCATTTTAGCAAATTCCAAGAACCATCCATGACTTATTATTGTACCTGATTTTTACAAGTTCTTTATCCAAGAACCTCTTCATTCTCAGTTGAAACGGGGATGCTATTTGATAAAGTACAGTGATAACCAGTACCAGCCAAAAAACATGACAAAATGAAGAGTATCAGAACCATTTGAAAGCAAACCAGAAATTCCCATTTGTAGTCTTAAGTAATCCACCTTGTAATAGGTTCAGAAGTCAGTCTTTTGGAGGTGCCTGGAAATTCTCTTGAAGTTTCACTGGAGAAATCGAGACTTCAGTAACACGTATGATATTAAGGCATTAGATTCCTCCCACAATAGAAGGAGGGAACTAAGGCTATATCGCCATCACCATTTTTAATAATATCCTGCTAGCTAAAGACTGAAGCTAGCCAAATTGCTGATAACTTCATTCATTTGAGTACCAAGACATGAATAGAAACAGCATTGAAAATGAATTGTTTCTTAGAGTGATTATAGAAAAAAAATTATATTGTAAAAAGATAATCTTAACCTTTTTTTTTTCTTTTGCCATTCCCATTTAAGGTATTCAATTTATCAATGCTCATCCAACCAATATTTATTGAACCCTGACTATGTCAGGGAAATGAAACCCATGGCATTGCATAGAAGTAGAAGGCAGGTTAGGATATCTGTCATAGGAGCAGCATAGACAATGCTGGCTCTCTCAAGGAAGCTTCCAGTTACATGGGCCAGAGACGGCTTGGTGGGAGAGGTGAGTCTTAAGCTAAGTCTTAAAAAAAATAGGTGAGATTTCAGTTGGTGTAGATGAGAGTAATAAGCCAGACCAAATGAATGCAAGGGGCAATATGGGTGGCAGGGAAATGAGTATACTGTGGTAACTGCACACCACTTATGCAGAAGGGAAGTATGACAACAGGATGTTGATAGTCAGCAGAGTCAGAATGTAAGTTGTTGCTGATGATGGTGATGGTTTGGCGGGGGGTTGTTTAGGTATAGTAAAGTTATCCTCCTTTGAGAGAGTCGAAATAGGTTCACAGAGGAAGCAGAGAGGAATGGTATGAGTTCAGCCTTGAAAAGAAAAAAACACCTCTTTCTTTGAGATAGGAAGATACTTCTTTACTAAGAAAGAACATCTAAGGTCACAACATCTATTGTGTGCTTCCTCATGCTCTGTCTCCTCTACCTAAAATATCTCAACCTCTACACTCATCTTTTCATTCATCATACATTCATTTCAACATTTATCAAGTACCTACTATGTGCCAGGAACCGTGCTGGGTGTGGTGTGTACAAACATCAATCAGCTCCATCACTTTGGGCATACCATTGCCCAAGCATGGTGCCTCGCACATGGTTGATACCCAATAACAGTTTGCTGCTTTAAGGGAGAGATAAGGAAAAATGAGAAAGCACAACAGTTACCTGTGAATTTCTCAGTAAAGGAGGATGGTTATTATCTGGTGAGAATGGAAAGGATAAGCAGTGAATTAGATGTGTGAGCAGAGAGATCTGAAGCACCCGCTAAGGGAAGTGTGCTGGGGAATAAATGGGAGGCCAATATCAAGATCGTGAAGCAGCAGCGAGAACCCAGTTGGAGCAGGACGGATTGATTTGCACTAGGCTAGGGGTACACAGAGGGCTAGGACTTTCTCCAAGAACACTATTCTAACGAAATTCTCTATAGTTCAGGAAAAGGACCAGGGAAACACACGGGTAGGGTGGTGACTGAAGGTGAGGATTGGCATGGCAGAAAGATCAGGGTTTAATAAATGCAAAGTGGAGTTTCTCATTTCACTAAATGAAAGCCTTTTCTTCTCCAAATAATTTGGTGTTATGTGATATTTCCCTCATATTCTTAATCCATAAAAAAATGAATTACCCTACTCTAAACTGTCCTATTCAAAATCGCATTCCAACATGATTTCTGAAATAGTTGTATCATTAGTAAACCTGTTTTGGAATTG